GAGAGGCTGGATGTGGCACTTAGTGCCGTGGTCTGGCCGATGTGGTGGTGTTGGGTCATAGGATGGACTTGGTGATCTCAGAGGTCTTTTCCAGCCTCAACAGCTCTGTGATTTGTTCCATGTATCCGAGGGTGATGGATCACAAATCAAACATGAATCTACGTTATCATTTTACTACTAAAAAGGTAAAAGAAAGCATGCATAAATATACAAGTATGCAGGAAATATGAAATGTTCCTTCATGTATCAACACTGGCAAGAGTACTGTGGGCACAAGCATCATGAGTGTTCAAAGGTCTAGAAAATCCCCAAGGAAAAGCATTGAAAAACTGGACTTGTTTAGAGAGCAAAAGTTAGTAGCTAGATAGGTAGGTATGATAATAATTCCTGAATATGTAAAAGGTTTCTGCAAAGAAAAATAGCCTCTTTTTCATGTTAATTTACAGTTTAAAAAAGAATTAATAGGCTCAAATTACAGCAAGACTATTTAAAAGGGATATTAAACTTTGTAATGTAAATAGTGGACTAGGTTACTCAGGAGGCCATACAATCTAATATTCTGCAGGTGTTTGAGAACAATCAACTGTCAAGAATAGCTAGCTAAGGCCAGTGGAATAGGTACCCACAGGGGTCTGGCATTCTTTCAGCCATATTGTCTGTGACTGCACATAGACTCTTACCTTCAAGCCTGCAGCACTTCAAGACTATGAAATGTTACAGTTAACCTTGAGAGACTATGGAAGTTTTATTTTTTATTGCAGTAGTGTAGAAGTCCAGTTATGGCCCATAACTCTACTACATAAACCTTGAGGAAAATACAAAATTTTTTGTGTCCTAAAATGAGTCAGTTTTGTTAGATGATGAAAATACTACGGTGTTAACCGTCATAGTGTAAATCTTAATTTCTTCTTTTTTATATATACCTGCTGAATTTAATAATGACTGAAGAATAGTCAAATGCATGTTTTCAGCCTTACATGAAAGGTGCTTGATTTAAATTTAGTCTGTTTCAAAGTTCTGAAAAATTCGTATTACTTTTGCTTGTAGATCCATGTCAGATGAGCTGGTGCTCTCATGCTGACCTTTGAAATTTGTGTCTACATCACTGACACCTATGAAAAGATTCCTATTGCCTCCAGTACATTTCTATCAAACCCACAAGAGAATCTCCTCCTGCGAGGAAATCTGTAAATAATACTGAATAATTTGCAATCTAGACAAAAGCTAGTTCTGTGGTTGTAACTAGCACGTAATTCCAGTGCAGTCTCCAGGGTGTACAGAGAGTAGCAGAGTAAATAAGTACCAGATTAGGTCCATGTTACCCAAGGGGCAGTAGATAAGGGATATTAAATTAATCTGAAGCAAAACCAGCCATTAACATATCCCCCTCTTCCCCCAAAATCCTGCAAAGGTTAGAATATGTAAAATTGTCATTGAAAATTATACATTTTTTAACTTGCAAATATACAAAACACACTCAATGTGTCTAGGATCATAATACAATAGAACTTATAATAGTTTGGAAGAAGTCAGCTACATTTGGCTCCAGTTAAATAATGTGACTAAGTATAGTCAAGCAGGTTTCTGTGCATGTAATGCAAACATAGTAACATTTCATGACCTTCTTTCAGCAGCCCCACTGGGGATATAATTGAGTGTGAGATTGAGAATACACTTTACCAGAAAAAAAACAGTGTATGTTTATGAATTATATGAATACTTCTATTACTTTAACATAGATATTGCACTGAAAATCAGTGTACCACAATCACTCAAGTGCAAGACGCTTAAAATGGGTTAATTCATTGCAAGTTTCTTACTCAGCCACTGGTGTCCTTCAGCTGCAAGTGTAATAGTCAGTTGAAATGGTCTAATACGATGTTATTTTTACAAGGATAATATGACAAATAATTCAGATTAATCCATTTCAACATAAAAATCAATAACAGCAAATGTTATGCCAGTGTCTATTTTTTGTTGGTTTTTTTGATTACTGCTGCTGTTAGAAATGGACCCAGCCAAGTTTTACTGGTGCCACGGCTTGGGTTACAGCAATTAATTTCTCTAGAAAGAATTAACTAAATTCTTCTCATCACTTTTTGGCACGGAAAATACAAAAAAAAAAAGGTCACTCATAAAAAGAAGTGGGCATTGTAGCAGTATTCGCACCACATTCTTATCCTCTAATAGCTTGTCATCCACTTAAGGCACTCCATTTAACTCTGATCTTGAGCAAAAATACTTCAAGGGATAACACATGGAAAAGATATATTGAAGACCACTACTCTGTATTAATGCTTTTGCAGAAAATCAAGAAAATCAAAGTTTGGCTTTTCTGTGAAAATGAGCAACATTTTAATTGTAATAGAAGCATAATAGGCTTTGACTCTTATGGACTCAGTAATCTGCTTGTATCAATGGCATGTCAATGGTATATATGACCTGTCTATCAGGACTTAATTAATGAACTCACAACTTTTCTTCAGAGCAAGGCGAATGTTGTATGGCTCCTTGGCAACAGTAGACAAGTTAGCCTTAAAAGTAGGTCTTGGGTCTTAACTGACTCTTCCCTCATCTTCCTTGGGTCTTCACAGATTACAAAGTTCCTCTGCATCATAGCTCCTCTTACTTCCACCTAAGCACCTTGTGCTAACGTTACATATAAGTAACTACTGGAAATTATGTTTAGAGTTTTCATGTAAATGACTGATCATATCTTTTCTGCTTGGTGGTAGTTTGACAGCTCCAGGTATCAGAGGGACTTTTTGTACTACTGAGTTGAATGCTACTGGTGATGGATTGAGTTGATTTGGTGAACTGCTGTTTTTACCCCTCACAGGCAGCAGACTTGCAGTGCCATATGTAACTGTGCATTTACTCTGTTTGTTCAAGTACGGGTTTCAAGCCTGAGAGGCAATTAGTGCAGAATGTACTGTAATACTGCAAGAAGTTCAGTGGATATTTAGATCTTTCATAGGCCAAGGTTTTTTATGTATATGTGCTGCTGATTTTTCATGCTGCAATTCATCGTCATAATCTTACAGCAGAAGGCTTTATCAGTGGATTTTTTCAAATAACAAGATAATTTGTTGCTTTCAACATTTATATTTTCATATTGATATCAATATTTAAAAAAAATAATTTTCCACATTAATCTCTTTACCAGTTTGTGCAAAAATTTTATTTTTTTCTTTTAAATATTACTTCTGGTTTGTTAAAGTCCGTTTTCTGAAGGGCTTTACTAGATCCTAGACCTGTGTTGTTTATCTTGAAGTTCTTACTGAAGTCATTCTCATATGTGAGGACTATAGACCTTGGACATGTAGCCAATCTAATGCTTCTTGCTAAGTAAACGCAAAGCCTCTGTTAATTGCACTATATTTTGTATATCTTCAAATCAAAATTTACATAGCTTGTATAAGTACAGAATTGTATATATATCTGAAAACGCATCCAGGAAAGGCTAATTCTCCTTTCTTGAGAATAAAAGGACTTTTTTCATGTTAAATTGCTTAGTTTGATGTTCTCTCTCTTCTTCACGTGCATAAACTATGTTTATTTCCCAATAAAAATTAGTCATGAATTTTCCATGTTTGATTCACAGCTATTGCCCAGCTACTTGCAAAATCTCTACTTCTAGTCACAGAGCAAGTAACATCCTCGCTCCTGAGTTGCACAGACCAGTTCAAAGGCTACACAGAATGGCTTTTTCATCATATATAAAGCAGCCATTTTCAAAAAACTTTACAGTGAAAGAATTTCCTTCTTGCTTCCTCTGCATGCTGAACCCCATATGGTTCCATAGTCTGAACAGACTGCATTAGGTTTTAAGGGACAGAAAATCAACGTTTTTAGAAAAAGCATGAATACCAAGTTACTTTACTGTTGATATGTGGCTACCAGAAGGAATTCTTAAGTAAATTAAAAAACATAGTGATTTTCCAGTACTACTCTACTCACATAAAAAGCATAAAACATATTTAGGAGGAAATTATTGCAGATTATTTGTTTTTAAGGAGGTAACAACTCATCAGTACTTTTCGAGGTGATCTATTTGTCGCATTATTTGTTGGCTTGTCTGGATGTTCTTTACAGTTGCTCAACACTGTTCCCCCTTCTGTAATTTCCCTGTTGGTGGACCCTTAGTGACCACTGAGTTAGATGGGCTCTTGTTCTGACTACTACCACTTTAATGTCAGGAGGAATGTTGGACCCTGGCATACTACCTGGATAAACCATTTAAAAGTTATTTAGCTGGAGACATATTTATCCTATATTAAGACTTCATGCCAAAACAATATAGCCATCTAGTTACTCTAGTCACTGTGTAAGTTGGAGTAAGTTCTGCTACTCCCAGATCTGTATGCTCCTGGGCAGCAAACATTGAGGTGAAAAGCTCTGTCACTCCTTACTGGCTCTTTAAACCATCCAATATCCCAGAAAGAGTTTCTTTTATAGAAAACAAATAATTTAATCATATTTACTACAATCTGAGCAAAATGTTTCTGATATCTGGAACACAAAGATAATGTGGTCTTTAGGGTTAGTCTTACTATATCCCAAAATGTCAGCACACTTGCCAAAAGTGAATTTATCGGCTCAGTACAGCCAAGAGATTTAGTTTATCTAAATGTTCTAAGAGGAATAAATAGTTTACCACTGGTTTTGAAGATTGGAGTAAATACAACATTCTATTGACATATGCTATAGATTTAATTTAATACTGTGACTCAGATGTCTCTTCTGATAAATTTTAGTAAAATCTACACTAAGAAGACTGGAGCTGTTTCAATATTTATGGGGTTTAAAATGCAGGGTTAGCAAAAGAAACATGTTAATTGAAACAATGTTTGTGTATATTCTTGCAGTGATTTGGAGAAGAATTTTACTCAAGTTTCTTGGTCAGTCAGTTCTGAATATTAAAAGTTTCCAGGTTTTTTTTTCCATAGTGAGAAAATATTTTAATGATTTGATTAAATAGCTCAATTTTTATTTTTTAGGCATATTGGAGATAACATCTGTAGAAATTGGAGTTGTGGCAGTTAAGTCCATTAAGAGCAACTATTACTTAGCCATGAACAAGAAAGGAAAAGTCTACGGCTCTGTAAGTATTTTTTTGTCTTACAAATTGATTACAGTGGTCAGCATAGTTCCCTCTCTTGCGTATGGAAAATCCCACTTGTCTGTGTATTACTACTATTTATAGCTGAAATGAGCTGTTCACCAAATTGCATCCTCTGGTAAACCAGCAGTTCCACTCTCCACAAGCTCCCTGTTGTTTAAGCTCATAACATACCAAAGCACCTACTGGGATTTATCATGCTTAGTGGTTCTCTCAGGTTTCTTAAGTAGTGGCCGATGGAGTAAGTCCTGCAAAATTTCATCTTTAAGGCTTTTTTTCCTTTTTTTTTTTTTTTTTGTTCCCCACGTACAGTAACGTTTAGCAGTAATTGTAGGTGGGGATAAAGTGTACCTGATGTCTTGGAAACTTCAGCGGATGGAGAAAACACACCAAATCATCAGTGACTTCAAAGAAAATTTCTAGAGCAGTCACCTTTTGTCATGGGTTAGGGCTGGGCCGGCTGCTAACACGGACAGATGCTCTCTAACCCCCTCTTCCCCCTCGAAATGGGAAGGAAAAGGGAATGAAACAGAGAGACTTTCGGGTTAGAGAAGGGAAAAAAAAAAACTAGAACAGCTTTAACGAAACAATAATAGAAATAAGAGTGGAATGATAAAAGTAAAGAACTATATATAAATATAGATAGTAGCCCGATATCAAACTCGACTCCCTCCCCCGACAGCAATCACCACTGGTGCTGCAGAGCAGGAGGCACTGGGGAAGCCCCAGGCTCAGCGGCGGCAGGAGCTGGATACAGGGAGCTGGATTCAGGAACTCAGGATCCGGATCAAAAGCAGGAGATCAGATGGAGTCCTCCCTGGACACCGGCCAGTGCAGAAAAGGGCAAAGAAGGAAAAAAGGGCAAGAAAGGGACGAAACTCTCATGATCACTCAATTTATACTAAATATGACATATATGGGATGGAATACTCTCGTTGGTCACCTGTCCTGTCTACTACCCCCGGAGGTTCAACCTTTTACTTCCTTGTGACCCCTCTTACTACCCTGCACACATGAGCAGGCTCACACAAGAGCCAGCAGTCGCCTTGGGCGCTATAGGAGTAAGTATAAGCAAGAGCCTGTCTGCATCCCAGTCCCAGGCAGTAACTGTAAACATCAGGTGTTATCACTGCTAGTGGCACACACTGTCTGCAAAAACATGCTGCTGACTTCAGAAAGTGCAGCCTTTTAGAAGGCACTAAACTGAAAAGTAAAAAATCACTAAGCAGGACTAGGTTTTTTTAGCTAAACTCAGGACACCTTTAAATTGACTGTATCAATTAATACACAAGATTGTGGACAGTACAGAGAGACACAGACTTATTTATCAGTGGATAGATAAGCTTTGAACAGAATTTGAGTATCGTTTGAAAATTATACATGTATATTCTATTTGTATTTTTGTAGTTTGGGATTATGGATAATTTCAAGGGGAAAATAACAACAGATAAAATGCAACCCAAGAAAACCAAGTAACTATCCAAATATTTTTAACAGGAAGAAATACCATCTATAAATCTGACTACTAAACTCTAGTGTATCCTCACACATCCTCATGATTACACAAACACCGGATTGTTCTGGTATTATATGTGGTTTGATTAGTAATTTCTTGACTTTTTGCCAGTTCCAATGAGTTTGAGCCCACATAAATGTAAACTTATTTAAGTCACCTGCAGAGATTAAAATCCTATCTTCAGATGGCTCAGTATTTAGAACATCCATAGAGATATTCTGATGTTTAAAGGGAGCAGATCCCAGATACATACTGGAGCTGGGTTTATCCTTGGACAATGTAGCTAAGCCTCCTTTCTCTGCTTTAAATAAAGCCAGTCTCAGCTGAAACTCAAGTGGCTTGAAGTCATTTGGCCTTCTCTTTCAAGAAAGCATTTCTGTGGGGTGGGTCTAGTTCATACAAACTATATAAACTATCATCCCTTCTCTGCACTGTGGCTATAGCCACTCCTGGTTCAGAAAGTTACTTCTGACTTTCTAAACTCCTGGACAACGTCAAAGAATCACAGTAAGGAAAGAGCAGAAGAGAGAAACATTTCTGAAATTCCTGTAAGTCTGGAATTTAATTTCTAGAATTACACTCGTGAGAAATACAGAATGATTGGTGTTCAGTCCTGCACCATTCAGAGGTATAAGGGTATAATGAATTGCTGACAAAATTACCATTTGTCAGTTAAGTTGGTCATAGGTCACAGCTATGTTTCTGTACATGTGTGAAAGTGTTAGCCTAAATTACTGTCTTCAACTCACACGTCTTCCTTTACAGTGTTTAATTTAGTCATTTGTGATGGTCCATCCCAAAGCTTGAGATAAGTTTTCCCAAGTTGTTAGTCACGGCTTGTGTGGTAAGAGTCCATCCCAACCCTATACGCACACACAAAAGAAGGCAAAGCAGCTTTCATGGACTGTAGGTGGAAAATGCTGCCATAAGATTCGGTAATTCATAGTGTATTAGAAATAGTGTTGACAGGAGGATATGAATGTGGAAAGCCTTTTTTTCAATTCCAGCGGAGATAATTTTTCAATACTCACATCATAAAATCACAACATAATGACTTATCAAAACCTATTCCATAATACTTCAGAGATTTTAAGAATGCTTCTGTTATTATTTTTTCCATCCTCCCAAGACTTGCAGTTAGACTCATATTACTGCAGTGTGGCAGCTTGCAGATGGATATGAAAAACAGAACCAATAAAAATTTTAAAAACACTCTTAAGCATGTGCACAATAGACATTGGTGCAGGGTTATGTTGAAATTTGTTTGAAATGAGCAAAGCAGTGCTGGGCTAACACTCAGACCCCTGCCGGTAAGACTTCTTAACCACATCACGACATCATCTGTTCTCTCTTTACTGTCTAAGAATAGAGATAAAAGTTTGGATTTGAGTACAATTCTTCATCTGGGAAAACAGGTAAGACCGCTTCTATGTTTATCAAAAACTTTTCCGTTTGACTGACTTTGGCTAGAATGAGGGAGCAAAAGAAGACTTACTATTTGATTTCTTCAGTGAAACAAGCTGATGTCACATTGGAGAAGTTACAGTGGTTTAGAACTGTGATTAACAGCCACCTGCCTTCTTAATACCTTAATGCCAGGGGTGATGTTACAGTAAATTACAGGTACTAAATTACCTGTATGTAGCTTTGTGTGTACAGGCAGTTTCAATATTTTATTTGTAGAGAGCCTTCTCTTGCTGGTGTCTTCCCCATCAGTCATTGTTAAGCTAACTGCTCATCCCGAAAATCAGAGAGCATTTTAGGAACAAAAGTGAGTTTGAATATGCTCAATTCTGTTAGGAAAACATAGACATGTGTTCTGTGGTCTTAGCAGCAACTCAGTAAAACATTAATTATTGACCTCAAAATTCTTTACTCTGTCACAGAATCACAGAATCACAGAATCATCCAGGTTAGAAAAGACCCTTGGGATCATCGAGTCCAACCATTAACCCTACTTGCAAGTTCACCCCTAGACCATATCACGCAACACCACATCCAAGCAATGCTTAAACACATCCAGGGATGGCGACTCAACCACCCCCCTGGGCAGGCTGTTCCAATATCCCACAACTCTTTCCATGAAGAACTTCTTCCTAGTGTCTAGTCTAAACCTACCTTGTTTAAGCTTGAAGCCATTCCCTCTAGTTCGGTCACTAATTACCCGAGAAAAGAGACCAGCACCAACCTCTCCACAATGTCCTTTCAGGTAGTTGCAGAGAGTGATGAGGTCTCCCCTCAGCCTCCTCTTCCTCAAACTAAACAGACCTAACTCCTTCAAATGGTCCTCATACAATCTATTCTCCAGTCCCTTGACCAGCTTCATTGCCCTCCTCTGCACCCGCTCCAGCACCCTGGTATCTCTCTTGTACTGAGGTGCCCAGAACTGGACACAGTACTCGAGTTGAGGCCTCACCAGTGCTGTGTACAGGGGGACAATGACCTCCCTACAACTGCTGGTCACACTATTTCTAATACAGGCCAGGATGCTGTTGGCCTTCTTTGCCACCTGGGCACACTGCTGGCTCATGTTCATTCGCTTGTCTGTCAGAACCCCCAGATCCCTCTCCTCAAGACAGCTCTCCAACCACACGTCCCCAAGCCTGTAGCGTTACATGGGGTTGTTGCGGCCCAAGTGCAGGACCCGGCACTTGGCCTTGTTGAAACTCATCCCATTAACACTGGCCCAGCAATCCAGTCTATCTGAGTCTCCCTAGAGAGCCTCCCTATTCTCACGCAGATCAACACACCCGCCTAACTTGGTGTCATCTGCGAATTTACTGATGATAGACTCTCTGTCCTCATCAAGATCATCAATAAAGATGTTAAATAGAAATGGCCCCAACACTGAGCCCTGAGAAACGCCACTTGTGATCGGCCGCCAGCTGGATGTAATGCCATTGGCCACTACTCTCTGGGCCCGTCTGTCCAGCCAGTGCTTGATCCAGCAGATCATATTCTCATCCAGACCATGAGCAGCCAGTTTTTCCATTAGCAATGTCAAAGTACATTAGCTAGTTTAAAAAATCTAATTTAAATTTAGATGGAAAATATATTCTTGCAATATTCTTTTCTTGTTTTTTATTAATCCGTGGATAATTTCTATATCTTTATTATCTGAATAACTAAGGACTTTGATCATAATATAGGATAAAACATCCCTGAAATTCTTATGTGTACCATAAAAATTGTTTTATTATTCAGATATGTTTCTTGTCTTTTTCATAGATATCTTAAAAATAGGTGTAGTTAGAATATACTACTCTGAGATTCTGACATGCTTCCAGCTAAGCTGTGAAATAACATATGTTCTGAAATGCAGAAACAATAAAATGCTAATTTTTTGTTGTAATTTAAGTGTTTTGTAAATGTCCCACTTTCTATATAGCCTAATAAATGGAATAAAAGTAACTTGATGAAACTGGGGGGTTTACATGTAGGAGTTACTTGTTTGTGAAAAAAAAGCATTCTTGGATTCATTACAAAGATCTGTGTCAAAATGCATTTAACATTCTAGAAAAAAATAGTGTTACCTCACATGCTTGGGTTTTTTTATTCATTCTAACAAACTAGCAGTTGATTCTTCTTTAAAAACAAAAAACTTTAATCCCTGATACCATATACAAAATTGCTTTAGAATTCATTTAGTCAATACAGGATGATACTTGACTTTTTTTAGCCAAAGTTGCTCTTCAGGTCAGCAAAACAAATAAACCTCACATCCATTGCAATGGCAGCATAATATTGACTTACATCCCTTCAGAGAAGCCCTTTTTTATGGCCAGTGTGGTGTAAAGGATCTTACTTTTAATAAGTAGGCCTATACTATTCGTATTTGTTTAATATGTGGTATCAATAATTTGGTTTTGGAAATTTAAGGGTAGTATTTGTTAGAACTGAAATACGATGAATGATTTCAAGATTGCTACCTCCTACTTTGAGTTTATGACTGAGAATCTGAATTATTGTTGTTGCCAAATTTCAGTACAGAGAAGTTTAACTTCAGCTGTGAGTGAATTTCACTGAAATAATTATGCACTGGATAATTGATTATATCTTTTGTCTGTTTCACTTTTTGCAGTCTGACTTATATTACTTTAATGTTATGGACACAGTGAAATGTTTCTTTAAAATACGCTGTGGAATCCTAAAAGAGTGTCACATACAGAACACTGAAATATTTCATAACATTTTTTAGAAGCTATCTACCTTCAGTATGCTGCATCTCTGTAAGATTGCGTTTGTTCTCAATTTGTATATTTGTTTTCTTCTTTTAACAGAAGGAGTTTAACAGTGATTGCAAACTGAAGGAAAGAATAGAAGAAAATGGATATAACACATATGCATCCTTAAATTGGAAGCACAATGGAAGGCAAATGTTCGTGGCCCTGAATGGAAGGGGAGCCACAAAGAGAGGACAGAAAACAAGAAGGAAAAACACTTCAGCTCACTTTCTTCCAATGGTAGTAATGTCATAGATGAAGGAACTATTTTATTGACGCAGTTGAATCAAAGGCTTTTATGCCAAGAATATTTGGTAATCCTCTTGAAGAATAAATGCAAAAAATAGTGCAGACACCTGCTTGTTTGAAAAGAGAGCAGAGGAAGCCTTTGAAGGTTTTGTACTCATTGCTGGCACATGAAATAGTTTTATTTAGTTCAATGTCATATCTTATAATCAAGTTCTAAGTGGGGTGGAAGTCACTGCCAGTGTGAACAATTTTTCTTATCTCTGCCACAGAACTTAAGGGACATGAGACAATCTGTTGAATGATCTTCGTGGCGAAAGTTATTTATGGAATACTAACTCATATCAAAGACCTTAATCGCTTGTTTAAGCCTAAATGATCCAATGAACAGATAGACACACAAGCATTTACTGGAAGCACTTGGGTCATATGCACAAATAATGACATTTCTGGAGAAGCCTTGTGGAAGAATGGATAGGATTAAGGAATATCAATAAAGTAGTGTAAAACTGTTCTAACAAAACGAATAGTATGGTTTGCTTGTATGTTCTAAATTCATTTCTTTTTATTTCTCTCTTAAGTTATTTATTTAATAGGATGTTAAATATCTTTCTGGTTTGAAATGTTTTCTTCATTTGCTTCTTAGATACTTTCCCTTTTTCTCAGTACTTCACACACAGGTTGATAGGCTAAAATGTCAAAACCTCAGAAGTACTATGAGAATAGGTATTAGACAAGGCTATAAAGGCAGAATTTAATGTGTATAATCCATTTTTTTTTCTTAAACTGTCTTGCACTTAAGCAAAAAGACCAAACAAGCAGTGCTTGGATTTATGGTATTGGGTGTCTTTGTGTTGGAGAATTCTTTTTACTTATCGGCACTCAAGAACAAACTTCACAAAATACTTCAAAGGGTCTTTCTGCTATTTTGAAACTGAGAAAAGGGGCCACATCTGTACTTGGGTGTCAATGCATCTGTGTGTATATTCATCTGACTTTAATTTCAATTTTAAGCTAAGAGCTAATGCATTGCAATCAGTGCAATATTCTGCAGCAAGCGTTGGGCTGAAATCTAGATGTTGGTAGCCCTGTTAGAGTCACTGAAATTGCAAATGTTAAAATTCAACAGTGCATAATTCCCAAGTGTAAAATTTGGCCTCCGAAAAGTGAGAGAGCAACACAGTCCTGCACTCCTTAATTAATATGCCTGTTTGGCACATTTGTCCGTGTTACCAGCTGGTAGAATCGTGGGCATATAGCAGGAACGATACCTAAGTAAGAGCTGAGGGACAGGAGGTCCTAAATCATGCTCATGCATTTATCAGAGAATATTATTCACATGTATATTATATATGAAAGCCAACCAAAAAGCTGTGCTGGTATCCAGCTTTAGCATGCCTTTCATATCCATCATAGTAACTGAAGGCTCAAAATACATAATATCCAGCACATTTTTATGAAGTGTTACTAGTCCCACGGCTTAACTTGAGCAACTGCAATATAATAAAGTTAAGCATAATATGAAGTCTGTTCAATTAAAGGTACATAAGGTTTGTTTTATGTTTTGCTTTAGCCTGTAATTTTAGAGAGCTCTGGATAGCTCACCATTTTAACCATATTGAGATTCATTTTGTTAGAGCAGATAAATAGAAAACAGTACATCAAACAATTTGTACCACTGTCTTCACATTGTATTCCACTAAATAAATAAATAAGCCTTTGCAGTGTCTTTAGTAAGAAACAAAAGTAGTATAATATTATTTTGTTCTAAATACTTTTATCTGATAACTATGAGATTATATTGATGCTGCAGTTTTATCTTCAATATTTCTTGTTGTGAAAAAGTTGGTTTTATTTTTATTGTTTGGAAACTGTATTTTGGTACAAAGGAGAGCCTTGCTTAATGTGTCTTTTTGAGAATGTTTAACCTCTATAAAAGCTGGTGGTGTTGGAATCTTCTGTAACTTATTTAAGTCAATGTTTAACCAGCACTTCAATCTTAATCTGTTATTTAAATATTATCTGTTTTTTAAAAAAGCAAAAAGTAATAGCTTTCCTATAAAATACAGAATGATCAGATTGTATTTCCTGTCCTTAAGTAAAGTTAACTGTTTTAAAAGCAGGAATTCATTGAGAGACAATGTTTTAGCTGATAGCTCAAGTGTTTTGTGGTACTTTACATCCAGTTTTCTTCTAATGAGATTTTTCTAGAAAGGGAAATACAAATTTCAGTTTTTAAATGTAACTGCAGGTCACAGCAAAACTAAACAACCATGAAAGCAAGTTTTTGTTGTTCAAATTTGCAATCAATAATTAAAAATGACAAGACGTCATGGACCACCCGCAGTTAACATTCAATGTGAGCTTGGATGAATACAGTATTGGATGACCACTTAAAGAACATTTAAGGTACAAATAAAAGTCCCTTTTGACAAAATTACCTTGGTGACTTTGTCAAGGGTGGGGATTGTGCATAAATATTATCACAGTACTCAAAATACCATGTTCCTCAGAGGCCAAAATCAGGAAATACTACTTTTCTAAAGTGCATCAGGAGCCATTTGTGACATGAGTAACAGTTTCTGAAAATTAATCAAAATAAAGATACCTTGAAGGAATGAATAATTCCTATATATTTAGTATACTGTAATACCCACTGTAGTGGGATCAGACTGCAGATATTCTATCAAGAATATCACAGATCCTCAACCACATGTTCTGTTTTCTGTCACCCTCAGAATAACAGACTCCTGAGCAAAAGGAAAATGGGGATTTAAAAAAGAAAAGGGAAACAAAAACCACTGAGCAACAATGTATAGTATGTTATATTTAAATAAAAATAACAAACTGTTGGGGATAGAAAATAAGAGTATTGTCTTTGTTTGTTTTATTATCCTGAAATTGTACTGCACAATAAAAATAAAAAATAAAAGATTGTTGTAATACAGGATGTGGTCTGATGCTGTGTAGCCCCAAAACAAAGCAAAAATCACTTGAACATTTGTAAGTTTATTTAATTTTTTGCATGTGTGAGTCAGCTATCTCCACACTAATAATAACCAAATGCTTTAGATTCTTTCTGTACATATTAAAATCCACCTAGTTTATACAGTGGAAAAAGCAATGAATTTAAAGCAAGCCCATTCGATGAAAGAATGAAGGAGTTTAGGAAGAAGACGTGCTCGTATTTTTAAAGTAAACTTTAGCTATAGAAAAACAATTGCATTTTATGTAAGCCTTCATTCAAGATATTTTGGGTTCTGAAGTCCACTGAAGGTTAGTAAGCTTTAGTAATAGAGGCGGTGTACAAGCACAGTTTTGTAATTCGTGCCCCTGCTGTAACTGATTGTCTCTATTCACACAATCAATCGTAACTGCTTCAAAGAGTGATCTTGAAACTAATAAACTCCCTCTTCTGGAGTATCAAGTATCATTATTTACTCTGTTAAGCTAGATTGCAGGATAGAATTCATCCTGAATCAGAGAAAGAACAGTACAACACAACACAAACACATTTTCTGCTGCAGCTAGTCAGTGTGTGATTACTGATGGTATTTTTCAGCAAGAGCTCATTGAAACAATTCCAGTGCAACTGCAAGTAATAAACACATGCAAAAAATATCCTTATTTCCTATCACATCATAAGCAAGAAGTAGAATATGAAAAATTAGTTGGCTTCGGACCTATCAGATTATGATTTATAGTTATGCTTACCTGCTCAAATATTTGAACCGCATGTTTAACTATATAGAAACTTTCTCGGAATAAGGTTTTTGATTTTTCTGATGAAGCACAGTGAATCTCGGATACCTGATTGATTCCCTCACTAATCACCCCCAAAAATGTAGTATGTCCTTTGCCCACTGCACCAATATAAAAAAAAATAAGCTTCTGTGAAAGGCAAAACAAAGTAACTATGACTAAGCCTAAAGTAACTGCTAAGGGGCCCATGATCTCTGTTACTGCAGTAACTTGCACTCCTGAAATTCCTCACCAGTACTTTTAGTGACACCACTGTATACTATTTCATTAATGTAAAATACTAACTCTTGCAGTTGGATAAATTGATACGCTGGTGATGAGATCAGAAATTCATGTCCTATAAGACCATTGTCCAAATATGAGACTATTAGAATCGCAGTATCTGCAAAAAACCCACAGAAAAGTACTTAAGTTACTTTAAAGTAACTTTAAAAAGTAACTTTAAAGTAACTTAAAAATCAGATTACATTCAGTGTACATGCAGGAACTTGTCTTATTGAGTGAGGTGCATCTGAGTGGGATGAAAAATTAATCCCTCTGCTCCATTACATTCATGATGCCCAGCTAATTTGTATACCTTCTTGCATTAGAAATACCTTGAAGTCTCACTTCCCCATGCTTCAAAAATGTACATCACAAAATTGTACGAGCACTTAGTTTTCTCTTTTTATCTCCTTTTTTTTTTTAAACAAGATAGCTCTCAGAAAAGGAACTGCATTATCAGGACCTTGTTCATACAATTTAATATTCTTTCCATATTGTACTGAAATAATCCATTCAGGATAATAGAAGTATTCTGAGCTTGGTCTTCTAGTATCCATATCAGTAGACTTCAACTACAATTAGCTACTTGAAAAAACTATTCTGTTTATACTAAATTGTAGAAAGACTAGTCCAGGAATAGCGGAGTCTTGGGGGAAAAAAAAAAAAACAACAAAAACCAAAACAATAAACACCTTCTAGATGTTAGGGTCAGTAGGCTGGGACCTTTCAGGCAATGCTTCTAACAAATAATAATAAAAATTAGGGTATTGGGTGTAAATAAAAATCACAACATAAGTATTCATGTGAGGTACTTTAAATTTTGCAGAAAGTTTTCAGTTATTTCTTGTCCAGTTCTGGTAATTTCCTGTCATTTCTTCCTTCTTTTGCATGTAGTGATTCCCCCAAAGAAGATTTATCAATGGTTCACTGAAAGAGCTTGCATGACTGATGTCTGCAGCATGCTGTCATTCATGCCATAAATA